TGAAGATTGATAACTTGTATCGAGTTGTAGCTATGTGTAAACCGTATGCAGATTGATAACTTTTATCGAGTTGTAGCTTTGTGTTAAGCGTCTGAAGATTAATAACTTGTATCGAGTGGTAGCTTTGTGTTACGCGTCTGCAGATTGATACCTTGTATCGAGTTGTAGCTTTGTGTTAAGCGTCTGAAGATTAATAACTTGTATCGAGTTGTAGCTTTGTGTTAAGCGTCTGAAGATTAATAACTTGTATCGAGGTGTAGCTATGTGTAAAACGTCTGAAGATTGATAAATTGTATCGAGGTGTAGCTATGTGTAAAACGTCTGAACATTGATAACTTGTATCGAGGTGTAGCTATGTATAAAGCGTCTGAAGATTGATAACTTGTATCGAGTTGTAGCTATGTGTAAACCGTATGCAGATTGATAACTTGTATCGAGTTGTAGCTATGTGTAAAGCCTCTAAAGATTGATAACTTGTATCGAGGTGTAGCTATGTATAAAGCGTCTGTAGATTGATAACTTGTATCGAGGTGTAGCTTTGTGTTAAGCGTCTAGAGATTGATAACTTGTATCGAGTTGTAGCTATGTGTAAACCGTATGCAGATTGATAACTTTTATCGAGTTGTAGCTTTGTGTTAAGCGTCTGAAGATTAATAACTTGTATCGAGGTGTAGCTATGTGTAAAGCGTCTGCAGATTGATAACTTGTATCGAGGTGTAGCTATGTATAAAGCGTCTGCAGATTGATAACTTGTATCGGGTTGTAGCTATGTGTAAAGCCTCTACAGATTGCTAACTTATATCGAGGTGTAGCTATGTGTAAAGCGTCTGCAGATTGATAACTTGTATCGAGGTGTAGCTATGTATAAAGCGTCTGCAGATTGATAACTTGTATCGGGTTGTAGCTATGTGTAAAGCCTCTACAGATTGCTAACTTATATCGAGGTGTAGCTATGTGTAAAGCGTCTGCAGATTGATAACTTGTATCTAGGTGCAGCTATGTGTAAATATATGACGATTGATAACTTGTATCTAAGTGTAACGCTATGTGCAAAGTGTATGAAGATTGATAACTTGTATCTAAGTGTAGCTATGTGTAAATATCTGAGGATTGATAACTTTTATCTTAGTGTAGCTATATGTAAAGTGTATGAAGATTAATAACTTAGATATAAGTGTAGGTATGTGTAAACCGTTTTAAGATTGATAACTTATATATAGGTGTAGCTATGTGTAAAGTGTATGAATAGTGATAACTTCTATCTAGTTGCAGCTATGTGTTAAGCGTCTGAAGTTTGATAATGAAAATGGCAATTAATATTGTTTTCAACTTTTTCATAACTACCGGAAAATGATAACATTATGCATTTGATGCACATTGGCAACACTTGTATTCATCAACTTTAATTTTGAATCATCAAAAAACATTGTCATGTACACTCACATACACTTACACATTCTACAAGCAGTTTGAAATATACGAATCAGTTAAATTACCATTTTTAATTTGACAACAAACTAATAATACATGATATATAGATATATTTAATACATAAATAAAATACAATATAGATGCTATTCAAAAATGCATACATGTAACACATAATTGTACATGCATACAAAAGTACAAGCCACGCACATACATGTACGTACATATGTATGCATGTTACATAAATATAGTCATGCTCCTTCAACTCAAAGATAACCAAACCGCAAATTGAAGTTGAAAATGGCAACCCAATGTGACATTTAATTACAAATTATAACATAACATACATTTGATCGCAAGTCAAACTACATAACCTAGATTACATCAATTCACAATGTTTTACTAATTTTATATATATACATATATATAATTATGACCTTTAGCCATCGTGGGGTTGTCAAAATCCGCCAAACCCGAAAAGTACATATTATGTAATTTAAAATTATAAACTGCTTAGATAAAGAAACATAAAGTTCTCTCCTGGAGACTGAACGCAAACTTTTTCCTGCTAAAGCTAGAAGTGAGGCTACAAAGTGCGCATGCCTGTCAAGATTGTTCCCTAATATGGATTGACCAATCAAATTAAAGGAAAAGTTTCTCATCTGATTATATAAACAAGAGGCCCAATGGACCTACATCCTCACCTGAAATTAATTTCTTACTCGTAATCTTAAAAGTGGACTAAAATACAGCTACAGGCAGAATATCAGTGTTTGATTCATAAGAACCTATTAAGATATTTAAAATATGACGCCTGTGACCTTGAATTCGAACAAGGACATTAGGGTCAAGGTGACTCATTTGAACAAACTTGGCAGCCCTATATCCCAGCATGCTACAGACCCAATTTCAGTACCTGGGGCCTTTTGGTTATTGAGAAGAAGTGGTTTGAAGATTTTAAGACATTTGACCCCTGTCACCTTGAAAGTTGGTCAAGGTCATTGATTTGAACAAACATGGTAGCTATTCATCCAAGCATGATACAGGCCCTATATCAGTTCCCTGGGTCTTTTGGGTATTGAAAAGAAGTTGTTTGAAGAGTTTAAGACATTTTACCCCTGTGACCTTGAAAGTGGGTCAAAGTCATTAATCTGGACAAACCTGGCAGTCCTTTATCCCAGCATGCTACAGGCCGAATGTCAGTACCCGGGGCCTTTTGGTTATTGAGAAGAAGTGGTTTGAAGATTTTAAGACATTTGACCCCTGTCACCTTGAAAGTTGGTCAAGGTCATTGATTTGAACAAACATGGTAGCTATTCATCCAAGCATGATACAGGCCCTATATCAGTACCCTGGGCCTTTTGGGTATTGAAAAGAAGTTGTTTGAAGATTTTAACATATTTGACCCCTGTGACCTTGAAAGATGGTCAATGTCATTCATTTGAACAATTTGGTAGCCCTTCATCCCAGTATGCTACATGCCCTATATTAGTACCTTGTGCTTTTTGGTTATTGAGAAGTTGTTTGAAGATTTTAAGACATTTGACTCCTGTAACCTTGAAAGTGGGTCAAAGTCATTAATCTGGACAAACCTGGCAGTCCTTTATCCCAGCATGCTACAGGCCGAATATCAGTACCCTGGGCCTTTTGGTTATTGAGAAAAAGTCCTTCGAAGATTTTAAGACATCTGACCCCAATGACCTTGAAATTGGGTTAAAGTCATTCATTTGGCCAAACTTGGCAGTCCTTCATCACAGCATGCTACAGGCCCAATATCAGTATCCTGTGCCTTTTGCTTATTAAGGGGAAGTCGTTTAAAGATTGTAAGACATTTTACCCCTATGACCTAGAAAGAAGGTCAAGGTCATTCATTTGGACAAACTTGGCAGTCCTTCATCCCATCATGCTACATGCCCAATATCAGTACCCTGGGCCTTTTGGTTATTGAGAAAAAGTCTTTCGAAGATTTTAAAACATCTGACCCCAATGACCTTGAAATTGGGTCAAAGTCATTCATTTGGCCAAACTTGGCAGTCCTTCATCACAGCATGCTACAGGCCAAAAATCAGTACCCTGGGCCTTTTTGCTTATTGAGGGGAAGTCGTTTAAAGATTGTAAGGCATTTTACCCTGTGACCTTGAAAGTGGATCAAGGTCATTCATTTGGACAAACCTGGCAGTCCTTCATCACAGCATGCTACAGGCCCAATATCAGTACCCTGGGCCTTTTGGTTATTAAGAAGAAGTCGTTTGAAGAGTTTACGACATTTATCCCTGTGACCTTTNTTTGAAGAGTTTACGACATTTTACCCCTGTGACCTTGAAAGTGGGTCAAAGTCATTTATTTGGACAAACTTGGCAGTCCTTTAATCCCAGCATGCTATAGGCCGAATATCAGTACCCTGGGCCTTTTGGTTATTGAGGAGAAGTCGTTTGAAGAGTTTACGACATCTGACCCCAATGACCTTGAAATTGGGTCAAAGTCGTTCATTACCCTTCGGGCCAGGCGAGCTAAAAAATTGAATTTGAAATACTTACCTTCTATTAGTTATTATAATAAAATCATACAAACATAATTTAAAAGTTAGTTCCCCGTAATAATTGGGGAGCATTATCATAAACTGACATCATACACAATATTTTGCTAATTATATATAAATAAGAAAGGATTAAATGTCCGTGTAAAGGAAGTTAATATAAAAAAAAAAAAAAGATTTAACGACCGACTCAAAGACGATTTTGATTTTCTGAGCTGTTTATTTAAACAGGTCCCACATAATGCTTCACTCATTTCCTTTGATGTTGTTAGATTATACACTTATATACCATATGATCGTGGTATTGAAGTTGTTTGGTTGAACATAAAACGAGAAGAAAAAAAAAATCTCGCTTTAGTAATGAATGTATACTCCAAACTCGAGACATTGTTCTCAATCGTAATTCTTTTTGTTTTGACCAAGAATATTTTCAGCAGATTAGGGTACAGCGATGGGAACTAAAGTTGTCCCTACATAAGCAACTTTATTTTTAGGATACTTAGAGGAAACACTTTATTCTAAGATTGAAACAAAGTTTCGGGAAAACTTAACTGAATTTATCAGAAATATTGTTTTAAGGTTCCTCGACGATTGTTTCGTTATATGGCCTTCAGATAAGGATTTAAATGAATTTCAAAACCTGTTGAATTATTTTCATCCTTCTATTTGTTATACGATGGCGTGTAGCGAAACGTCTTGACCTTTCTTAGATGTTTTAGTTCAACTAGATTCAAATAAGATTACAACGAATTTATATATTGTAAGGCTACAGATACACATAATTAACTAAATTTTTACTCTAACCACAGTAAACACACTAAAGTTAATATTCCTTTTAATCTTGCCTCACGGATTGTCACTATCGTCAGTGACCAACAAGCTCGAATTGCTAGACTTTTGATAATTCTAACTCATTTATTGCGCGGACGTATATATTCACTCGTTCACTCCGCGCACTCGTGAATATATTCGTCCGCCTAATAAACATTTCAGTTCGCCATGACAAGGGGATTCCCATATAAAGTAGTTCCGGCTAGTAGGTGAATACAACATTCGTTGTTGACATTCGTTGTATTTCATGGCCTAAAAAGTGCTTGTATTACAAGATTCAACAGATATCTGATAAATTGTGGTGGGATATATTCTATCAGTGGAATGTGATATGTCATTCTGGTGTTTTGCCATGGACTCAAATCCACGGGTATCTTCACTGAATCATTCCTCAAGATAAAGGATGGAGGAAATATGGTACGATTTCTTTATTGTAATAGCAAACCATCTATCGCATGGATTTTGACTTACCTGTTATACGTTGTATTGTTTCTTGTCTTTACCTTGTCTTTGACAGTTTTCAGACTAGATGCAGACAAAACCCAGGCTCCGTCTTGCACAGCAATGTATCTATCATCATTGATCATCAGCATTCATGTCAGTATCCGTATTAATATCCCTTTGATCTAAGACACATAGATACAAGATTTACCACCATAATTGCATAGATACCTTTCTAGTTGAACGTCGTGTATGCATGCACATTTGTTGTTTACCCAAACGGTGTTAGAGGTTGTAATAACACTTTATGACAGCACTGTCGACGCACAAGTGCATAATTCATATTAAAAATAAAACCGGCCTCTTGTGTTATTTATGTATGTATGTATGTACTGAACATTATTCACACGTTAAAACAGCTTTGTAACTGATAATGTTATCTTAACACACACGCACACTACCCCCCACACAAATTAGGACATAATAAACATAAACATCAAGTAACCTTTCACCCGGTAGTTCTTATTCAGACGTTATAAATAGAACTATATATATATATATTCAAGTCTATATATAAAAACACAAAAAACCCAGTCTATTTTCAGAATTATATATATACATGTACAGCTGCCCTGACATGAGGCCGTTTTTGTCTGTAGATGTTTTACACATCTATAGCTTTTTTGCAGTAGACTTGTGTGTCCGTAAGGGTGCAGTACATGCGTTCAGAGTGAATGTTTTCTTCACGGTGACCGTTTCAGCTGTGTGTGATCAAGCTCCCATCATCATATCTTATTTCTTCCAAACACGAAAAGTTATATAGGAAATAGAAAATACACAGATACACAGATTTTATTATGACGTAGTATATTGACTGAAAAAAATATATAAGCTGGTTAGATAATGCATTACTAGTACACTACAAGTATACAAAAAATGTTACTTATAAGGACTCATATTTTACTGGAAAGGAAGAAAGGAAACTTCCTCTGCAAAAATACAACAGTCTCGTACAAATGTAAACGTGTACACAACTGACCGTAATTGTCACGTACATAGAGTCTGCTACACTTAGCGTAACATCGTCTACATTCAATACAATACAATACAATAAACTTTATTTAACGTCGGATATTTAAAAACATTTAACATTAGCTATTAAAAGCTATTATTCCAACAAACATAAGTAAAAAGCTTCAATTCAAGACATTACATATATAAAACGTTATGAAATAGAAAGTGTTAAAACATAAGTTACCATACAAAGTTATAAGCTAAATATATATACATGCATACATATAGCATAACAGTATGTTTTACCATAAAATACATAAAACATTGAAGAAAAGAACATACACATAAAGACGACATTAACTACAGGTTTCTGCTTAAGGTAAAACATCAATCCGCCTGAAGAAGCCCTAGAAGGCAGAAAGGCCTAGCGGACGATCTGAAAAATTTATGTTTTTATTCTATATTTTCCTTCGCAAGGACTTATTTATTTATTATATACTATATGTATATATATATAAAGAAAAAATCTCAACAATTTAGACATTAGGTTTTTTAAGAAGAAACAAAAAAATAGGATCCAAACTGTCAACCAACTGGCATATCTATCCCTAGTAAGACCTTCCGTAGAGTACCTGTTCTACCTGGGACCCACACACCAAATCAGACATAAACAACTAAAATTGAAATGGTTCAACGTAGAGCAGCCCGTTATGTCTCCAACAAGTTTAGGAACACATCCAGCGTTGATGACATGCTAGAATGGCGCTATTTAGCTGATAGAAGAAAACATCAAAGGCTTACCGCTCTACTGTAAGGAAAACTCCACTCACTCCACCAAATCGCCTCTCACGCCATTCCCATCAAAATTCTTACCAAATACCCTATCTTGCAAAACGTAGTGTATACAATTTTTCTTTTTTTTCAAGAACCATTTCCGACTGGAACAACCTACCGCGACATATCACCTCAATTGGTTCTCTTGTTTCCTTCAAATTAGCACATTACTGTGTCCGGATAGGTATTTTCTACTACCGTAACTATCATCGATCATGTAATTACACATACATGACCGGGTCTGTACTAGTGGATATTTTATTTGTATTAATTGTATTATATGCATCGCATATCTTAATGTACATGTTACAAGTCTCATGCAAACTTAAATATGACATTAATACCCGAACCAGGCAAGTACCCTACGAAGTGAAGAGCGTCATATCTATTTGCTTTACTATGTGTATATCTTTAGTATTTCTCCGAATATTACTCCTTCTCTCTGGCGACATTGAAAGTAATCCCGGGCCTAACATGTCTGACGTATCATCAGTTTCTTCGTGCTCATCTAACTTTACAACATTATTTGACGATGCCAATATACTTTTGTTCACCTAAACGTTCAAAGCATAAAGCATAAATTTGATATTCTCTTCAGTGAACTGTATAAGATTATATCCTTTCTTTTACCGAAACATGGCTTAGTCCTGATGAGATAATTTCTGATTCCGAATTTCCTGGGTTTTCTTCCCTATATTGTTATTGTAGACCTCATAGGCAAGGAGGTGAGGTCTCAGTATACGTTAGCACCAGCATAACATCTAAGCGTCGATCTGACTTAGAATTACCCTCAGTTGAGTGCGTTTGGGTGCAACTTAACATACTAGGTAAACTAGTTCTGTATGGGACATTCTATAGACCCCCAGATGAACCTGTTTCTCCTTGGGACCATATTGCTCATTCTATCAAACTTGCTTTAAACACTGGAATTCCCAACATTATAATAACCGGCGACTTCAACGCAAACATACTAAATAATAATAATAACCACTCTATTCACCTTCGCAACTTACTAACTATTTACAATCTTACACAGAGTGTCGCCAATCCTATATTTTTCACTGAATCGTCTTCATCTCTCCTAGATATAGTCTGTGCTAGTGACCCATCCTTAATTAACTTATGTCATGTCGGTGAAAGCTTCCTAGACCAGCCTATTATATATCATTGCCCAGTATATGGTAGCCTTAATATATCCAAACCCATTCAATCATGTTTTAAACGTAACATTTTGTTATATGACCTCGGTGACTATGACGATTACAGAGACAATCTTTCTAAAATTGACTGGGACAGCATTCTAGATAATAATAACATAGACAGATGTACTGATCTACTTACTGACATTATACTTAAGACGGCAATAGAATGTATACCGAATAAGACTATAACTGTAAGAAGTAACGCTCCCGCATGGTTAAACAACAGAGTAAGAAAACTGATCCGAAAAAGAAAATACCTTCATCGAAAAGCTAAGCATTCTGGTAAAGTAGACGACTGGGCAAAATTTAGAAAATTCAGAAATACTTGCATAAACGCCATTCGTAATTCCAAACGTGACTATTTTAACAAACTCTGTGATAAACTCAACTATAACACTAACACTTGTGCCAAGGAATGGTGGAAGATTATAAATAGTTGTATGTCTAACTGTAAAAGAAAAGGCGGCATTCCTCCTTTTTCTGACAATAACGACATTTTATATGCAATCTCGATAAAGCAAACGCTTTTAACATTTTTTTTCTCCTCACAATCTACTATTAATGACTCTAATAGTGATCCCCCTGTTCTAAACTATTCTCATACTCACATACTTTCCGACATTGTAATATCTCGTCAAGACGTTCTTGATGCAACACATTCCCTTGACATGAAGAAAGACTCTGGTCCCGACCTTTTAAGTCCTCGTTTGATTAAGGAAGCTGCCGATATTCTTAACTATCCACTACAAATACTATTTAACCTTTCGCTCACTGAATGTATTTTTCCGTCATCTTGGAAAACTGCTCATGTGACACCAGTATTTAAAAAAGACGATCCATCTACTTTAAGTAATTATCGTCCTATCTCTCTATTATCAATTGTTGGGAAATGTTGGAACGCTGTGTATATGAATATGTTTACAACTATCTTATTGATAAATCCTTATTAACACCCTTCCAGTCTGGTTTCAGATCCGGTGATTCCACTATAAATCAACTTCTATCTATTTCTAATGATATCTTCTCTGCTCTGGATAAAGGTAAAGAAGTCCGAATGGTCTTCTGTGATATCAGCAAAGCGTTTGACCGAGTATGGCATCGAGGCCTTCTTTCTAAACTAAAATCTTTCGGCATCACAGGAAATGTTTTTACTTGGTTCTCAGATTACTTACTTAATCGCTGTCAACGTGTTGTTATATATGGTAAACAATCTTATTTAGCATATATCATAGCAGGAGTTCCACGGGGATCAAATTTAGGTCCACTGCTCTTTTTAATCTTTATAAATGATATTGTCAAACACATCGATTGTACTATAAAGTTATTTGCTGACGATACGTCTCTATATGTCAAAGTGGAGTCACCGGGTCCGACCGCAAACCTGTTAAATAATAATCTAATGAAAATTCACGGTTGGTCTAAAACTTGCCTTGGAAATTTTAATCCTAACAAAAGTGTAACAATGACTGTTAGTAAGAAACTCGAAAAACCGATCCATCCCTCTCTATATATGAGCAGTCACTTGCCATAAACATCTCGGTATCTCTATCTCAGCCAATGGAAGTTGGAGTGACCATATTCAAAACATTATTAGTAAATCCTCTAAAAAACTTAGCATAATTAGGAATCTAAATTCTATCATTGATAGAAAGTCTCTTCAAACGATATACTATACTTTTATAAGACCCTTATTAGAATATATCGACTTTTTTCATACCGGTCTGTTGTCGATAATCGACGACAGACCGATATGAAAAAAGTCGATAAAACGTCGGAATAATTCGGACTATAGAATATGGTGATATTGTATGGGACAACATAACTTTAGGCCAAAGCCAGTTGATTGAAACCATACAGCTCGAAGCAGCCAGAATCGTGACTGGGGCAACCAAACTCACAAGTCACGACAGACTATATGCAGAATCT